AGTCGAATGATGATGATGAGATAAAAAGAGAGTGTATTATGAGTAAGAAGTGATAAAGGAATTAATGCGAATAATTACAGAGATGTATTGAGGATATAGAGTTCAGAGATGATTTTAAAGAAGTGATGAAGGAATTAATGCGAATAATTACAGAGATGTATTGAGGATATAGAGTTCAGAGACGATTTTAAAAATCTGGAAAAATGTAGGGTGGTGAACGATATTCGCGTGTGTGTACACAATATATCCATTATTGTATATGTTATATCCATGTGTATGAGTTAACCAACAACTATTTACCTATCTGTGTAAAATCTCATATAATGTTGGAGGCATCAAATGTTTGAAATCACAGTGCACAAAGAAATGAATAATTGAGAAAGAGAGATTTATTGATTATATGATTGAATTATATGTGTTGTATTCTTTTTTGATTTATTGCTATTATTTTGATGTTATAAAAATGTTTGAAATATATTTTAGTGATGAGGATAGAACTTATCCTTACAAATATTTTCAAGGAAAAAGAATGACAGACCCTCAGAAATCCATTAGGTTGTTAGAGTGACTAGTTAGTGATAAACTTAAGTATGTATTTAAAGAGTGGTAGCTGCCATTATAAATTTTTTGTAAATAGTAATAGTGAAACTGGTGATATATTTACTCTTGAGATGATAATAGGGTATAATATTCCTTTTGATTACCCTATTAGTGGTAGGATCCACTATATACTTAGTTTGTACATATGTAGAGGTATGGTTTAGACGCTGGATGCAGTGAACTACGCGTATACTTTCTATAATCACGACTATATGAGAAGACTGGGTACTCTTACTCGAGAGTTAGTGACAAGCGTTGGAGAAGATTTGCAGAATCTTCATCCTCTCTAAGGTTTGCAGAATCAACCTCGACCTCAACACTTGTTATTCACTTAACAGTAATCAGGTCGATCTTCCAAAGATATCGTGGTTCAAGAAAGTATATAAATAATTCACAGTTGTTAGGGTCCTAACTGTCTCTCTATAAATATATATGATAAGGATGTGACGAATCCTATTATTTACAAGAAAATCTAAGGGTACGCTATAGTCTAAATCCATTTTCAAAGTACATTACTCTGTATATTATCATGGTCTACAACATTTAAATAATAAAATTGTTGATATTCATTGAATACATAATTAATCCTATAATTTATATAATAATCTACTAATCTAATCACTCCTTGTGATTTAGTCATCCTTGTTCCATGAAATATTTAGTAAGAATGAACATCTATCTTACTATTAAACATGATGCAATTACATCAATATAAATTTATAACATAACGTCATTAGTTGAAAGGGAAAAATTTACATCTCATATACAATTTCATCAGCAAATTCCACAAGATCATACGTACTCATTCATAAATCATAACACTTTTCTTTCTCAACTATGCATTTCTAATGCACTGTGATTACATATATTCAATGTCTCCAACATTTTCTGAAGTCTGACACATATAGGTAAATAGTTTCCAGATAACCTCTGTATACAGATACAACATATACTATAGTAGACTCCTTAGCAAAGGTATAGTCAGGAGTCTAGTTGGAAATGAGTGTGAGGCTATGTGACATGTTCACTCTTAAAAAGAGTGTGTACACATACACAAATGTCAAATGCAGTTCACCATCCTACGTTTCTTCCAAATTTTCTAATTATCTTTGAACTCTATACCCAGTAAATCTCTATAACTATTTACACTAATTCCTTTCATCACTTTGTACTCATCATACATTTCCTTTCATCTTTCATTTCACTTTCATTATTCAGATAAAAAGATCGTTCTTAGTAAAATACTTCCAAACTATGCCCATGCAACACACATAGTATAGAATACAACACAATCATCCAAAATTAACCAAACATATATGATCAATTTTCTAGAACTGATAAATATCATTTAAACATACCCTTCAAACACAATAAATAATACATAATAGTGATCTCATGAGTATGAAAATATACACTATGTGTAATGGTGAAAAAAAGCTCTCCTTATCTCGAGATGAAGTTTTAGAAAGGGATTTGTAGAGAATATTGTTTAATTTTTCTAAATATTACAGAATAGAGCACTTTTGAGAAAATAGAAAGTAAAAGAAAAAGAACAGAGATTAGAGAACTTAGCTCCACAAAACTTACTTGGAGTCAGTTGGATTGAACGTTCAAGTATGGATTTAAGGAATTTTTTATGTTTAAAAGAGATTTTTCTGAGAAAGAAAGTGAGAGTTTATAGAGAAATGAGAGAAAAGGGTAACTTGGATGGTAATGCAAGTTTTTTTACTGAAAGTTCCTTAAATACTCCTCAAATTCACACGTTTTCGCCTGAGCAAGACTAAGTCTCACTTAGGCAAAAATATCAGACAATGGTTTCTCAAGTTTTTTCTGATATTTTCACCTGAACGAGGGTCATTTTCGCCTAAGTAAGAAGGGATTCAGAGAGCTACTTAATTTTTCTTACGAGGCGGCCTCAGCGAGCTCCATCTCGCCTAAGTGAGATTACTTCTGACTTGAACAAAAAGACAATTGGGGCAATTCTATCTTATCTCACCCCTCTGCGAAACTAATACCAACACAAATAAGGACATGGTCAAACAATATTATCATATACATTATATGTGCCTGCAAAATAGAAGGAAAAAAGTGATGACAAAGGCACATTGGTAATGGACTAAAATCTACAATAGAGGCACACAATAATGATTGCTTAATCAGTTTATGTTCCTTTACAAATGCATAACAGAATACTATAATCTACTAAAGAATCGTTAGATTGATCCTTCTCAAATTTTAAGAACAGAAAGAGAAAAGACCAAACAAGGTTGTGATGGTAGAAGAGTTTCTTAGAGCTGGGTTGATGGACAAAGAAAACATATGCTAAACAATAATTTTAGGTAAGGTGAATTCTGTTCATGAAAATGTTAAAAAAAAATGAAAAATTAGTGAATGGACAAAACATTTTAAGAATTAGGCTCACTAAAATGTTTGATAGCAACGATCTCATAATTTAAATAAAATAAAATCATATTATATATATATATATATATATATATATATATAACATCATTTTTATCACATAATTAATTATATATCACTTAATGTAATATAATATTTTATTACTGTATGATTTTAAAGATTAAATTAATTGACAGAAACAATAATCAAGACTAATGTGAAATTTAAAAAATTTTAAAAATTAAAATGTTTGATATTTACAACCTCTAAATATTAAATGGAGAGTTTGATCACTAAAATTTACATAATAAAAAACTAAATTTAAATTTAATTTGAATTATCATTTAAAATCTATTACATGTGCATTTTTAAAAAAATTAATTACCTTCTCAAATTTTAAGTATATTTCATATAGTTAATCTATTTTAATTCATAGCATGTTTTAAATTTAAGAGAGATTATGTTTGTTAGAAATTTTTTCTATTTAAATTGTAAATATAAATAAATTGATCTAAATATAGATAGTACTTATAATTTGTGAATACTAAGACTACTAATCTAAATGTGTATTTAGATAAGCGTTTATAAACTTAAGTTTGAATGAGGTTGACTTTATAAAATTTTTATTTAAATGAGTTTAGAGTTATGTTATTTATGTTTAAAAAGTTTTATTTTAAGAGTAAGATTATAATAAAATTTAATATAAATTCTTCAACTTCATAAAAAAATTATAATTTATTGCATTGTCTTAATCACGAATTTAAAGATAAAATCAATTATATTGAATAATAACTGAACATCACTTTTTTGTTATAAAATGACTTTATAAAGAATTAAGTATGATTACGGGAGAGACTAACTTAAAATGAAACGAACCTTATATAAAGTCATTTGCCACTGTTGAGAGATGTAAGTATGAAGTAGATCACTTAAAAAACAACACAATGCTTATCAATACTTATTTAAATTAATGCAACGGATTTATATTTATTAGTAGTTTAAGTTTAATATATTATTAATATAATTTTTTAAAAATTAGATTAATTTGTATTCATTATTAATATGAAATTATTCATTTAGTGACTAAACCATGCATTAATAATTTGACCGTTTGATGATTATCAGAATTAAATCAGTGTGATGACAAAACAATAAATGCTAGGAGCGGAAACATTGTTTGTCGATTTAAATTTTTTAAAATATTAACTAGTTGACAAGGAATTATTTAAAATTATATCTATTTTTATATATCAATTAGGAGTTATTATTTTTAAATAATAATATTTTAAAAAATATTTTTTATCACGTGGCTGAATATTAACCATTTATCAAAGAATTATTTAAAAATAATTTTATATATTAAATACTAGTTATCATTTTTAAACATCTTTTATTATGCGACTGAATATGTATTTTTTAACTTAATTTAATTATTTTATTAATTAATTTAAAATTTATTTTTTAGTTAAAATATAAAAAAATTAATAATTGATTTTAACACATTTTTAATTATTAAATAAATTTATTAAATTATATTTAATTTAATTATTTTCATTCTTAATTTATTAATTTTATTATCGTACTTTTTAGATCTTTATAAATTTAATTTAATATTTTAAAAAATACTACGCCTAATTTTAACACAACTACAGTAACATAAATAAACCAAATAAAAATTTAAAAAATAAATATTAACAATATAGTCAAGCTTAATATTATCAAACGAAGAGTAAAATTATGATACTCTTCAAACAAAAAGAAAGAGTAAAATTATGATATTATAATAATTTTTAAAACATTAAAAAATGAACTTTTATTGATATATGTAAATTAGTTAAATGTGTTTTATAAAAGGAATTAAATAAAGATTTATAATTAATAATAAAAATAATTTTTATTGAAAAATAAAGAAAGTAGTAATTTGGTAAAAAAAGAAATAAATAGAGTGAGATGAATAATAAAAAAAAGTGACATCAACTAGTGTCACCTCAGCTGAAAAGAATTACGGGGAGAAAAAAGAAAGAAAGGAAAAGGAGGAGTCGAAGAATGAAAACCTGGTCTTTGCACTTGCAGATACCAACAACCAGTGCCGTGCAGCTCCACCATCACCATTGCTCCTACGACGTCGTTTCATCGCTTTCCGATTCAATCACACTTGAATGAATGGGCAATTGCGGTACCAGAGAGGAATCAGCAGTAGTTTCCAATGCTCAAGGTTCTCCAGATCTACCTCTAGGGCTCTCTCTTCTCTTCCTCATTTTCCCAATTAACTAACCAATTAATCACCATTATCCTATAATCCATTTTCACATTGTTAATTTCACTCACTCACGTTCGTTTTCAACAGTTCAGCAGCTTCACCATGCGACGTCGTTGAGCGCAAGTGCCAGGAGTCAAAATGCCGGTGGCGTCGGTGAGAAGAAGCACGGTCACAGGCACAATCTGAGCGAGTGCGCTTCGGATCTGAGCGAGTCTTGTTCGACACCGCGCGGTAACAATAGCAGTAGCAGCAACAACACGCTGCTTTATACGCACGTGATCGCGTTCACGCTTTATGAGTTGGAGACCATAACCAAGAGTTTTCGTGGGGACTATATATTAGGCGAAGGAGGGTTCGGCACTGTTTACAAAGGGTACATTGATGAGAACGTTAGGGTGGGACTGAAGTCACTCCCTGTTGCGGTTAAGGTCTTGAACAAGGAAGGGTTACAGGGACATCGAGAGTGGCTTGTGCGTTTTGCATTTTGAATTTTTTGAATTGTTTATTAATTTAATTTAATTTTGTGATTTTGTGTGTTTTGTTGAATTGGTTGATGCAGACGGAGGTGAATTTTCTAGGGCAGCTAAGGCATCCTAATCTTGTGAAGTTGATTGGTTATTGCTGTGAGGATGATCATAGGCTGCTTGTCTATGAGTTCATGTTTCGAGGAAGTCTAGAAAATCACCTGTTCCGAAGTATGTTGATTTTTTTAAAAAAAAATTGGTTTCTTTAATTCTTTCTTAGGTTAGGTTAGGAATGGATTTGGATCTGAGTGGGGGGAAATTCTTAGGTGTTTTGACTTCGGAGGGTCTTACATTAATGAATGAATAATTTGATTAAGATGTGACTTGTGGCTCTGGAATTGGATTTGTGACGTGGATTTGGTTCGCTTAAGTGAGGGGGTTATAACTGTGGAATGAAAAATCAACGAAGGAGATTTTAATAACTTCCATGAATTAATTTAGAGGACCCAAATCCTTGTGCCGTTAGGTAAGTTTATTAGTGCTTCACAAGAAAATATAAGCCATTGAGTGCATTGCTCGCCGAATGTGCTAGTGTTTCTTCTAAGAAAGTGGATGTTTGGTTGCAGTTTTTCTGGGTGGGTCAAGCATGCAATAAATTGATTGCAGAAAAATTCTTTTAATGATTCAAAGTTAACTATTAAAAGTTGTCATATTTCTTTTTATTCTAGAGATGATTACTTTTGTTTACTCAGTTCAAGACAATAGCATTACATCTAATGATGGGTGCATGTACTTTTCAATCGGTGTTGATTTAGAATCTGGAACTATGTCGTTACTGGTCTGCTTTAATATATTCATATTCCGAGTTAAGTGATTCTTTCCCTTGTGAGACTACTCTAGATCTGCAACCAAAAGTTGATTAGCTGCTTGGGGATGTCATTTTCGGTGTTGTCTCCAGCTACCAGCACCTTAATAGTGGTTTTAGTTTGGTTATAAGCAGATAAATGATAATTTAAAGATTGAAACTCTATCCTTCATTTAGCTTCTTGGTAACTAGCTAGGTTTTAAAATTTATGACTAGCTTGCTTTACACCATTGAGACAGTAGCGTGAATCTTTGCCTTGAAATTAACTATACAATGCTTTAATATGATATTTTTCAGGCAGAATTTATTGTATTTGTTATAGCTTAGGATGTTATACCCTGAGACAGGATAGAGGTTGTGTAAACACTTTTAGGAATTTCATTGCTATATCCTATTTTATATTTGATAATGTTTTATATTTTCAATCTGTGGTTAAACTTATTGACACAAGTAAAATATCATCTCTTCCAACTTTATCAGGTTTTTGGTAAACAACTATTGATTCACTTCACAACAAAAGACAAATCATTTTGAACAATAAATTGTTCTGATTTTTTGTTCACTATTAGTTGCAAATATAAAATTGCTAAAATTGACAGTTATCAAGATAAGATTTTTTGTTCGGGTGTGTTTTTCAACTCATTGATATGACCTTTCCTGAGGCTTCCAGAGGCAACTGTTCCTTTATCATGGGCGACAAGAATGATGATTGCTCTTGGAGCAGCCAAAGGACTTGCCTTTCTCCACAATGCTGAAAGGCCAGTAATCTATCGTGACTTCAAAACATCTAATATATTATTGGACTCTGTAAGTTTCTGGTATTTTAAAGTTAATTGATCTCTCTCTCTCTCTCTCTCTGTGTTGTATATTGTGGTTATGTAATAAAAAAATTACCTTTTTTTTTTCACTGTGTTACCAATGACGATACAGGACTATACTGCCAAGCTTTCTGATTTTGGGCTGGCTAAAGCAGGACCACAAGGTGATGAAACCCATGTATCCACTCGAGTCATGGGTACATATGGTTATGCTGCCCCTGAATACGTGATGACTGGTATGACCTATTTTTCAAACATGCTCAATTTGTAGGAAAAAGTGGAAACTACAAGTTACTTGAGAGCTTGTATGTACAAATTGATCTTATTGCATAATGTACTTGAGTTATGGCCTTCGTTTTGCATTCACTCTTGTATCTTCTATATGTTTGGGCATGCACTGATGCGTATCTAAACTTGGCATGTCTGAAAATGGTCAGGCCACCTGACGGCTAGGAGTGATGTCTATAGCTTTGGTGTTGTTCTTTTGGAGCTTTTAACGGGAAGGAAATCTGTTGACAAGACCAGACCTGGAAAGGAACAGAGCTTGGTAGATTGGGCACGGCCAAAGCTCAATGACAAGAGAAAGCTCCTACAAATAATTGACCCTAGATTGGAGAATCAATACTCGGTGAGGGCGGCACAAAAAGCATGTAGCTTGGCTTATTACTGCTTGAGTCAAAATCCCAAGGCAAGGCCACTAATGAGTGATGTAGTTGAGACATTGGAACCCTTACAAAGTTCTAGTGTTGGTGCTGGTGAAGTCTCGTTATCTGGATCAAATAGTGGGAGTGCTGGGCCTTTTGCTATGAACAAAATCTCTGACTACCGGATGCGTCACAAGTTTTCAAACAATGTTGGTCCAGGTGCTACTTGTCGATCTCCAAACCCAAATTGTTCACCAGGTGCCCCAGCAGCTTTAAGGGTCAGATGATAATATCTTGCCCTGAATCCCTGTCTGGTGTGCTACTCGAATCACCACTTAATCTCAAGAAAATGGTAATTTTTAAAATGTGGGTGCATCCTTGTATTTTGTTGCATTGTACATGATATTATGGTGACAAGAAGCCCTAGTGGATAATTTTTGTAATCAATGTTTGGTCTTCTGTTCATCTGAGTGGGAATTATTGTGTGGTAATCTGTGTACTTTGTAATCATCATGGCATCAGAACTAATGTAACTGCTTCCTCTCAACATCTGCAGTACAAGAGTAAGCTCTTAGTTATAACGAGAGATTATTAGGTAAACACAGGACATAAGACAATCTTATAAGGTTTGTATTTTGACTGCACGATTGTCTGCACGCTCCTGCCTTTTTAAAGTGACCAGTTTGTATTTTGACAAAATAAAGATGAAGTGCCATTTTCAAGCTTATAAGGCATTTGTATGCTTCCTCATTTAACTCTTGGAGGTTAAATTATGGTGTTTGATAGCATGTGTACACTACAACAAAGTAAAAATTGTTTTATATAGTTTTTTTGAAAAAAAAAAAAGTTTAAACTTGTGAAATGGGTCACATTACATAACAATCAGGTTATTTATGTTTTTCTATTTCTAATTTTTGAAATTGGTAATTAACTAAAGATGATCAATGCAGAGATATGCATGGATGTAAGCTTTAACTGCTGCATAAGTCGAACAACACTATTTTGACAACACAGAGCATTGCAAGTGGCTTGTAATATTATTTAATTTGGTGTGATTGTAGTATATTTTTGTAAACTAATTACCCAAAGTAAACTAGTCGACCATATGACAACCACAGTTTTAAGTGGTGTATCAACTTAGAGAATGTTAACAATTCGTTCTTTTAATAAGATCTTAACGACTACATTTTTTAAAAATTAATACCTAAATATATATTAATTTCCCTAGTTAAGAACATGAAAAAAAAGTGTTATATAGAAAGTATATTACTAAAATTCCTTCTCAGCTTATAACCATGCGTAGGATAATGTTTTACCTAAATTTATCATATCTTAATTTGAACCTAATAAATAAAACGAATATATATCAATTAAATCCAATTTATCATAGGTTTTGAACGCATCCTCAAATGTTGACCTGTAATTGAAAACCATATGCTGTCCACGTAACATACAATAATCATAAATAGCACAAATTTACTACTAGTGACTAAAATGAAAAAAAAAAACTTTCAATTGTCATTTAACGAAGATATTTTCACTAATTTATCAAACCAAAAAAAAAAAAAAAATGATCAATCAACATAAGCGTTCATCAAACATTCATACAGCAGTAATACAATATAGGAGGTTATTCGAAAGGGGGGAAAAAAGAAAGTAAAATGAGTTTTGTTCTGCTCGGAGCATAAGTTGAACATTTTGGTTCACGAGCCTATTCAAGTATTCCTCAAACTAATTTAACTAATAACTTAGTTATTCACGAATATATTTGGGGAACACTTTCATAATGACGATCAACCATAGGTAAACTATTAGTTAAATCAGTTTTGGTAAATGATTACTCTTGGATGCGAAACACAATGTCCAACTTTGTCCACCAAGTTGAACAAAACTAACTTTTCCAAAAGAAAGAGAAAGCGCCTATGTATATGCCCCAAGCGATAGAGGCATGAATTAGTCATCAGACACATGAGTCTTACCCTCGTAGTATCTTTTCTCACTCTCCCCCTTCTTCTCATTACGTTTCTGCATGCAAAAAAGAGTCAAAATGAGAGACCAAAACAAAGAAACAAACTTGCCACACACAACATTCATTTGAAGGATGAAATTGAAAACCAGATTCCATTTACACGTAAGTATAAAACCTTAACATGCTCATCATTTACAAGATTGATGGACACTTCAGCCATCAAAGACAACACTTCTGTTATTCATTCACGTAACTTGAATCCTACTAATGACATCCCTACCAATCTCGATATCAGTTGCTAGAATGGATTCAAGATACTTAATACCAAAAAAGTATATATGAAAATGAAAATAGAAAATGTTTTTTCAAACCAAATAGACCCTAATTTGCAAAAATGTTTAATATTTTTGCTCACAATTATAAATTATATTTCTTGGAAAACAAGCAACAACATAACAACAGTTTTTTGTAATTATTAACTGAAAACATGTCCACAAACCAAACCAAACCAAACCTTAGTAGGCTAAGGCCTACTTTACTCAGTCTAAACACTTTCGGACTTTGATGAGTATATTACTTGCTCCAACTACTTTACTATTGCTTGTCTTTAGTGCTACATTTAGCTCAAAATTCTTGAAACCAAACATGATGTTAATAGGAGTGAGAAAATCAATCCACTCCAAACTTCCCAAAAAAGAATTTATTCAAATAGGTATGTATAGTACAAACCAAACCCCTGCACACAAATACTTACGCTTTAAGGAAGTAGTTCACCCACCTTTGCTACCATATTTAGAACTTATCAATTACCTCCATAGAGAATTAATACAGAAGACATTTTGCCATGGAAAGCTTTCAAAAATTAAACCTTTCTAAATTACTAAACCAAATTACCAAATAACTATATATATTACTAAAAAACTAATGTTAAATCATAGTTGTTAATCTCGGATAAAGGTAAATAGCGACTGACCCCTAAAACGCCATAACAGAATAGCGTAAGCAAAATGATCTCTATTTAAAGATTTATAATATGCATATATAATAGTGTAAAACATTACAACATGAGTATTATATATTAAACAAAAATACTTTCATATGATTAATCAGTGAACAGACGCTGGAAAATCTGATTTTTCCAGTGAACAGAAAACAAGATGCTGGAAAAACTAATTTCTCCTATGAACAAAAAAACAGAGGATACACCTGAGAGGAGACGCCAGAAAAGCTTGTTCCTCCGGTGAAATGGAGCATGTGAGCCTACAGACAAACTGATTTCTTCGACGAAATAGAATGGGTGCGCTTCTGAGAATGGGAGAAACCGTCACGTAAAGGCTCGGTCTTTTCACAGAGGGAGGAGAGCATTGGGAAGATGGGTTTCTTTCTTCCCCAAATAACCTTTCTACCCTTAAAAAATAATCCAAATGGTGCATTTTATAAAAAAATAGAATAGGGTTTCTTTCCTGCCCCCAAATCACGCGATCACAACGCGAATATCTTCCTGTTTTGGCTATGAACGCCTGCAAAATGCCCCGCAATGTGGTGGCCAATGGCCACACTGCACTGCTCCGGTGCGATAGCACCGTCATAGCGTGCAATTAACAAGTATGTTCAAAACTAAAAGTGTAAATATTTTAAACTTAGCTCATTAAATGCTTGGTTAAGTTTGTTTATTTAATTCAATAAACAAGTTCAAATTTTAAGTTAGGATTAAATTATTTACATGGGTCAAGTTCCAGCTTTCCAAGCTTGATATTAGTAGCACTGTAGAGAATATCTCCTAATTATTAAAATTTAGTTATTGTAATTATTGGTCATTATCTCTATATTATTAGAAGATAATATAGGACATTATTTTATGTAAATATTAGGATTAGACTCATACATATATATATATATATATATATATATATATATATATATATATATATATGTAAATTATAATATATGACACAAACGAGTTCAAAATTTCAGGATAGTATCAAAGACTTTGATCCTAGGGTCTCTGTTTCCGCACATCAAACCCTAGCCACCTTTATCACGGCACCCAAACCCTAGTAGCCATCTTCATTACGGCATACATCTATACTTTCATTGTGCATTAGGCATTTTTTTCCCCTCTGTCTCAGCTGCCAATAGCCCCTATCCCTGTCAATGTTCCTGATGTCAAACCACCAAACAACTTCGGCAATCATACCATCTGGAGCACACGGCCAAGATCAGTGAAACCCCAAAATTTTGTTCCCAACGGAGACCACACACTGCCACACCACAGAAGCCTTAACCGGCCCATTAACACCACATGCCGTCTTCTTGGCCATCATTTGCCCTCCCGCAAACGGCATTTTGTTTGTCAGATTCTTTTCTACCCAAAGTGAAACCATTTAGACGTTCCTTCAAACCCTACATGTTCTCTGTTGATAGACACATTTTTCTACTCAGCCTATTGCCTCCCTTAGGTCCAATGACCTTCCAATATTGCATAGATCATACCACCTTGATGATCAGAATTATCTTCAATGGGCTCAATTGGTTTGAACAACCCTTGAGGAACATAAAAAGCTGAATCATATTGAAGGAGAGGCTCCAGGTAAGGATGATCCAAAGTTTGAAAATTCACTTATTATGACCTGGTTATGGAACTCTGAATCCAAAAATAAGCCGGAACTACATGTTCTTTTCTAATGCCAAGGAGATTAGGTATAACCTAAGTCAGGCTTATTCCAAGAGGCAAGATGTTGCTTGTTATTGGAAAACCAAATTATTAACATCAGACAAGGGTCTCTATCTGTGACAGAATATTATGGAACTCTAAATCGATTATGGATTCAATTGGATCAAAATCTAAAGAAGAAATGCAAGGACAATTCTACTACATTAAACAAGCTTATTGAAAAAGGGAGGAGTTCAGCAGAAACATGCAAACTAGACAACCACAGACTTTGAGACAGTTCCCCTTGAGGAAGAGGAGATTCAAACTAAACACCTGTGAGCTCTCATCAGTCCATCCTCAAGTAAGTCCTCAAGCACTTGCTCTCTTGTCATGACTGTACAAGAAACCTTAAAAGATGATAATTGGGTTCAAGCCATGAATGAGGAGATGAGCACATTAAAAAGGAATACCATTTAGGAGATTGTAGAATGACCCATGAACAAGATAACAATGGATTACAAGTGGATTTAAACAATTAAATATCAATCAAATCGTATCCTTAATCAGTACAAAGCTATATTAGTTTCAAAAAGATATACTCAAACTTATGGAATTGACTATGAGGAGACATTTGCCCTAGTGACTAAAATGAATACTATGAGAACTATCATTTCATTAGCAATATACTTTAATTGGAACTTGCATTAGTTTGATGTAAAAAATGCATTCTTGCATGGAGACTTAGAGGAGGAAGAATATATGGATATTTCTCCAAGATTCGGTACTATTAATGGTGGGAACAAAGTATGGAAATTGAAGAAAGCTCTAAATGGACTTAAGCAATATCCTTGTGCTTGGTTTGAGAGATTTACTTAGGCTATAGTATCCTTGGAATACAAGCAAAGCCAAAGACATCATACTCTTTTCATAAAACAGTCACAATATGGTAAACTTACAAAAATGGACCACAAAATATTTAGATAACAAGTCTCATACTATATACTGATTTTTAAAAAGTATTGATTGAAAAAAGAAGCAAACTCCTCAACTGCAGAACAAAGAAACATGCCTTTCGTATACAGGGAAGAGAGAGGTTACAGTTAAAATTTGTCTTCGCTAGACACACTAATTTGTCTTCTCTAGTATAAATATAATCACTAGCTAATTCACAGATCAAAAGAAACATGTCAAATACGTAAACATTCTAACTGTAACAAGTACTATAAAACAGAAAAGTGATAAGCCAAAAATTCAACAGTAACTCATGGTTTGACAAAGGTCTGAACGAACCTGGTATGCCTCATGGTTTGATACAATCCTCCTAATTATTGTAGTAGTTGTTATATCTAAAGGACTTTCTAAAATTTTGAAGATGCCCATGCTAATAGGTACAGCATATGGATTGCATTGTTCCTATATGAAAACCAATGTCAACAACTGATAAGGAGAGAAAGTCATTGATGCAGAAGCAACTTAGCACCTTATAGAAAAAGGAATAATTGTAAATACACCACTTAAGCAGAAAAGTATACAATTTACCTTCTGAAAATCATTATTTTCTGCAATGGTTCCATGAACAACTAATGAGATGTTAAACGTCGTGATCTGCACTCAAATGAATTTAAACCAAGTGTCACAACAATCCATGACCAAGTGATTACTTAACTATTTGCAAACAATATGCTAGAATGGAGCAAGCTCCAACTTCCAACTGAACCAACCAATGGTCACTAATTTGTAGCTTCTTTTCTAACAACAAAAGCTAAACTTTATCCCACTTATTGGAACTCATTAGTTGCTGCATCTACAACTAATAAAAAAAGTCTTTTAGACAAAAACATAGAAAACAAAATTGTTAAAAGAAAAACGAGAAATTTGTTGGTAGCAGAGGAGTGAATGGAAAGGTTACAGAAGATGGTACCATTCTAATACCATGTTAAAATTATATGGTTTTAGGTATTGAAGGAAAAAATAGAGAGAAGAAAGACTTTGCATTATAATGTGATGATATTGTTCCTAAAACCTAAATCACTAACCCTTATTTACACTAATCATAGTCCTAACTTATTAGGGAATCATGAGATAAAAACAGATGCTAAGTTGCTAACCAATCCTAAGAGATAAGGGGAAATAAAGAAACTAAAATCCTAAAAGATATAATCTAAGATATGATACAATACTTTTATACAACATAGCTCTTTCATCTGTCATTTTTTTTAAAGGATAAATTTATAAGGTGCAGGGAATGCTCTAATCCTCCTTTTTCTCACACAATGACATCACCTAAAACATGACCAATTCAAAGGAGACACATCATGTCCTTTGAAACTTCAGAATTTCAAAATAAAATGAGGGTAAACAAAATTTGCTCTAATTACTAGTATTGGCATTACAGCACAATAATAATAAATCTAATGGCTCAAGAATATTTACAGCAATAGAAAGGAAAGAATTATCATATACAAAATTAAAAAATAAAAAATGAAACTAACCATATCCTTGGACACCTCCCATGGTGCACCAATTATAACCTCATCCACATAGCGACATGCTAAAACACTTAGACTTCTTTCATGAAGATTCATGATAGGACGATGTGATCCTCTAGTAGAACTACAAAGAAAGAAAGCATCCTATAAAAATTTGCAAACATTATCACCCTGTATGTAATAGAAACATAAACAACAATAGATGCTCAAATTATATTAATTCAAATTTATCACTTACAAGTGAAGGCAAAAGTGTTGCTATTATTGTAGAGCATAGTTTTTGGAAATGATGCAAGTCCAATAACTATGGAGCCTCACCCAAAGACCATATATAAGTGCAACAAGTAAAGAGAAAAGATAGATTAATCTTTAATATGATGTTACATACACAACAAACCTTAGATAAAGATAACAATACAAAGATAAGAAAATATGCATTGAGATCCCATCCTTTGAATTCATGGGAAGGCATCCTACATAAAATGGTAAACTTAATTTATAATACTTTATTTAATCACACAGACACACACAAAGGGATGCAGGCACCTTTCAAAGTAAATAAGACTTAACAGACTGTACACATAAAAGGAACAAAAGGCTCGCAATCCTGTGGCATAATTCAGAGACTACCATTTAAGAAAATCATTAGCCCAAACTGTCATATAGAACCCAAGAACATAGCTCTGTATTTAGAATATTGTATCACACTTGAATTCTGAATGAGCTTGAAAATAAGCAATTATAACATGAGCTACAAGGTGACAAAAGCTACCATTATTATTATTATTATTATTTTACTTGTGAGACTTCCTGTAGAGTACAATAGAAGCATTTAAAGTTGCAATAAAATGGTGCAAACAACTTCCAAGAAATAAGCTAAATATAACCTCCACCCCTGCCCCCTTACAATCACCAATCAATAGTTATATTAAAATCATTCAACTTCTTCACATGTGGCAAAGTATGAATTTAGTTTCCCACTCAAGCTGTAACATCTTATCACTGGCACTTCTGTATATTTATTGTGAACTAGTGGCATTTTATTGTTGTCAGCTTCTTGCTAGTAATGTTCTAGGTCCCATATAAAAGTCCTTCATGCCATTGAATAGTAATACCCTGGCAGATTTTATTAAAACCACCTTACCAAAGCCATGGTGATGTGGTTTTGCAATGGCGGCACCATGGCAGCTGCCATATCAATGGCACCATAGTGGAATGGCAGCACAATGAATAAAATTACAACCCACCCACCCATTATCCTAAGCATCCAGTCACCTAGCATGTCCAGCCACCATGAATGCTATTCTGTCCATTTTTTTCAGCCTGTTTGCATGATCAAGGGCAATAGCTCATGCTTACATAATAATGACACTATGTTATGCTTTTATATTTATCTTTCTGTTATTGCATTTAAGTTAAAAAATGTGATACTTTTAATAAGTTTGATGGTTTAAAAAATAGTTTAACCATGTTGCTTTAGTAATTTGTGCTGCTTGAAGTATATTTTATAATCTTTTAACATGGCCATCATGCTTCTGACATTCACCACTTTGCCATCCATCTTAATTCCATAGTGAGTTTTTGGGTTGCCACCATTCATCATTGATAACACTAATAATAAAGTATAGAAACAATTTAAAAAAAGGTGTGAAAAACAAAGGGATGTAAAGGTTAACAACCTGACTGACTGATCTGTGTGTATTCCAACGAGCAGGAAATCTCCAAGATCTCTAGCAAGTCTCAAGATCTATGTAACATAAAGATCAGTTAATAAAAGGTACAAACATCCATTTAAACAATTTTATTTGACTTAAATAAGTTTTTAATCCTTTTAAAAATCACATTTTTTTTCATTTGGTCCCTCATTTTAAAATTTTTCCAAACAACTCCACAAAAATCCTTTTTCATTCTCATTCTTTTTCTATTAATGATTTGTTAATTTTCTCCATTATCTGGTTTATATAGCATCCAACTTGGCTCATAAAATATATGATATTGATATGAGTAATAACATGACATCTACACTTTCATCCTCTTTATATTCCAAATCTTAATTTTTGGAAGATATAATGTTAACAACATATCTTATCTATGTCATGTCACAGTCAAATTATATGAGAGAACTCAAATGATATGTAAGCAAATAAAAGAACAAATTAACAGACTACTAACAGAGGCACAAGAGGAACTATATGGAAATGAAGAATATTTTACTAGATTGAAAAAAAAAAAATTTAAAAGATGGACCAAATGGAAAAATCATTAATTTTTGGAGGACTAAAAACTTATTTAAGACATTTTATTTTTAATGATAGTAATAGCATAGAGGCAAGAGTTATTGCAACAGTCTTGTACAATAAGGACAACAACAACTAAAAGGCAAAGCAAAAATAGAAGCAGCAATGTCAAGTTGGAAAAACACAATTAAGCATCACATTGCAGACAGCAGTAATGAAAAGTACAACTGTCTCAAATGCACCCATTATTTATGCATAACAAAACAGTGAATTTAGAGACAGGACAAAGAAGGAACCAAAAATGTCTAGCAGAAGAAAGATATAAAAGAGATAAAAAATAAATAAATAAATAAAACAGATGGTGGCAGTGATACCAAACGAAGAACTAATGAGATAAAAAAAGAGGGAAGATGTCTAACAGCATATTATTTGATATGATATAGGTATAGGAGATTGCCAGAGACTGAGACATAGCATTTGACAGACTAGGGGCCTGTTTAGAATAAATTATGGATAACTTGTGAAAATAGGTTATGACTCTCATAAACTTTTTTCAGCTTATTTCAATAAGCCTCTCAGTATAGCTTTCCAAAATAAGTTTTATCGTTAAATTTATGATATAAATCATCATCTAAAAAAAGCTTATCGAATAAACGCTTAAATAAGGTGTGTATCCAAACATACCCTAGGAGCTTGTTTGTATTAGCTTACTTTGAGTTCAAAACAACTTATAACAAGATGTTGCTGAGCTGAGAAAGCTTTCGAGTAATGACAAAGCAAAACCAACAATTATGTAATAGTGTAGGTAAACTATACCTCCACATGTCCAGCATGAAAGAGATCAAAAGCACCATCTATATATACAATGCGGGCATCAGGTCCTGGACCCTGGAACAGAAAGCATGAGTAAATTATCAAGTAACATGAAGAAATTACCAAATATAGCTTGCCCAAACATAGTTCTGCTTAAAATTATTTGGGAATAATGTTACACTATCTAAAAGTAGTGAGAGATAAAAAAAATATTTCTACATGCAATGGGGAGGAATAAACCAACCATTAAGATTCAATCACAGCCATAATAATATTCAGGAGACCAAATCAGCAACTTATACAAAGAGATATGCCAAAGCTACTGTCATATCGCTCAGTACATGGGAGGAAGTCAGATAGAGAATAGAACAAAAATCCAGGTCCAAAGAGCTAACCCAATCTCTTTGATATATTCTTTTCATTCGCATTATCACATTCCAAAAGCATTAGAAAAAAGCTAGCTTGCAATCTAACTTGATGCGGGGGAGTTTAGGTCAATCTCTAGATAAGTCCTTATAAGAAAAAAAATCAGTATAAAAATGGAAAAAAAAAATTCTCTCATAAGTTAGAAACAATTTATGTTTTTCTATTTTCTAAGAAGATCTCTCATTTAACTTCTTTATAATTTGAAAAGATAAGTTATTTTTAACTTACGAAAAAAGTTTTATTCATTTTTTATACTGATTTTTTTTTCCTTATAAGAACTTCTATAGAAGTTTACTCAAGTTGGGTCATATTCTCCAAACTCTAGGGTTCTAATACGCTTCCTACAATTTGTGATGTGAACAGCACAGCAGAAATGGGAGAAGAAACAAATAAAATTCTGTATTGATTGCAATTTCAATATTACAAAAGAGGAAATCCTCCCTTGTCCCAGAGCACAGCTCCTAAAAGAGATACTCTTAAGGTTTTCTCTACCCAATATGATGCTATATACACAGCTCCTAATAGAGAAACAAATATTGAATCATCCCCCCTTGCCTATAGCATGATGCTATATACAATATGCAATAACAGAAAAGATCCTCCCGCTTTCTCTCCTCTAACAAACTCCTTTTCTACTTATGCCAACTTTGCCCCTTTCTTCCAACGGGAATACACCAACCATTCCTTTGGGCTTTTCTTTGTTTCATTGGCTAAAGGCTCTAAAGGCCCAAGGCTCTAAAGGCCCAATTTCGGTTTGGTTCCTATCAGGTTCATTTCTTATCAATTTAAGATTACTGAACATATTCACATTAATAAAGTTTTCCAATGACGGACTGGTGAGATAAGCCAGTCTATATTTCCCACAGCAAGCAAGCCTTGCTTCTCGTGACGTGTGTAGGGTACCACTCTGCTTTTTCCTTTTATGGTTTTCAGGAAAGTCACAATTTTAACAATTTCTAAGGGTGATAATGGGTTCAGATCCACCTGTGAACCTGAACAATCATACAGGATCTAGCAAAGAAGGCAAAAGGGAGTCCAGGTTAGTTCAAGTAATTAGGGTTCATTTTAGGTAGGCATGGCAAAGCTGATCAATTTGGATTCTCTATTGGTGTTTATTTTGGTAACACAAGAATATAAGACATATCTGAACCCTACCCAGATATGTTATGTAAAACTAAATTGTCAACCTGTGGTTCCCTAGAGCATAGTTGTCTACACTTGTGCTTGCTGCATCCGATTATGCCTCTAATTTGGTACCTCACTTGTCCAAGGATTGTCCTTATCTTACCCACTTCTTGTTTGTGCCATACCTAACACTGTGGATATCTAACAGAAAATGGAATGGAATGAGATGAGATGCAAAATAATGAAGTGGAATGAAATAGAATTAAGTTACCACTCCATTGTTTGGATATTTTTATCATGAAATGGGAAAAAAAGGCCAGTTCCATCCCATCCCCCCACCCTGGTCCCCAGGAAATCAGATGGAAAGAAAAAGAGGGTATTGGGTGCAATGCATTCCATCAAGTTCCATTTCATGGTATGTTTACTTATATTCTTGAATTAGGCTTAAACTCCAAATTCGACATGGTATCAAAGTCTATCATAGATTCAATATTGGGCCACCCTTGACTGGAAAAAAAAAAAATTTGATCACACAAATTTTTCTAGTGCAATTACCCTAGCTCCGTGGATTTCTCAATGCAATTTACTTGGTCCCGTGGCTTTCTAAATGCTACCTACCTAGTCTTGCAGCTTATCTAGTGCTATATTAAAAAAAATAATCCTACAATTTTCTTGCTCTAGATGTTCAATCTTGATTGTGAAGGGGAGTGTTAAAGTCTCACATCGACCATAGATATGGCTAAACAAGAGCTTATAAAGATTAAAACAATTCTCACCTTACGAGCTACTTTTTGGGGTTGAGTTAGGCTTAAAACCCAAATTCAACAATACCATCTATTTTAAACAATCCAAACAATAGAACAAAGTATCATTCCATCCTTTTTCATCACTCCAAACACAACCTAAATGTCATCCCACAATATGATACAGAAGCCATCATCTAGCTTAAGAGAAGTCAGCAGTGTAAAAGAGACCTGTACTGCATAAATGAAATTTCCATAGGCATGAGTATGTTGCAATGAGTAGTCACTAGGTTTGTAATTCTATGCCACCTATTCTGCTGTTTCCCAAATTTAATTTTTATAACAAGACTGAAGGAAAATGCCAAAACAATGTTATTGGATACCATGTGGCCCACACTGTTAACCCTTTTTGTCATATTTTTTTACTATCCATTACCAATAGCCAATAAACACCTATTATCATTTGCCACAAACCTAATTCCCAAAACCAGCATTACCAATATGGTTGAATTTTATTTTTTTTTCTTTTTTGAAAATCATTATTAAGAAAGGAGAGTAGGAGACATACAGATGCAAGAGGATAAAAAATCCACAAAAAATAAAGAAAGAAATGAAAAAAACAACTAAGAATACAATATGTTTAAGTTGTAACATAGCATGCCAATCTATCATAAGATCTATCAAAGACACCCCCCTCCCAAAAAAAAAAAAAAAAGACATAGTCACCACAAAGGAGCTACATGAACTACTTGATCCCAAATGAACTCCAAAGGAAATGCATTACCAGTTAAAATTCTACCATTTCTCTCCAACCATATAAACCAAACAACTGCAAATTGAGAACAATGCAAAACATTTTAGCAACATGATAGATTTTTATAATTCCAAGGGCCTAGGCTTCCTTGTCAGTTGGTTTTCTAGTAAAAAATATTACTTGCTCTTCCAGATCGCAATGATAAATGCATTTGAGAAGGAAATAAGAAAACAATAATGAATTTGCCAATGATAAATGCAACTCATTCCGATAGACTAATATCATGATGTGAAGTGAAATACATAGATGATTCAAGCATCACAAAGACTAAAGGATGCAGAAATAATAGAGGGAGGTAAGGAAGATGATAACAAGCTTATAAACAGTTATAAATCAGAAGGGGGATTTCCATCAACATACCCTCCCATTTGAGAACTGAACAATTCTACGAGATGTAGGCAGAAAATGAGATATACGAGTTCCAATTGCAGGTACACCAGCTTCAAACTTTGGACTATGGCCATTGCTGAACTGTCTTTGTAAAGAAGAATGATTATGACTGTCACTAACAGACCTTTCTCTTACACAGAGAAGCATTCGACCTGGGCATGAAATTATTGTATACCATTAATTATACATTTTGCAAGTAATATGAAGGCAACACTACCAAAAAGAAATATAACCTCAAGGGGAAAACAAAAACACAAGCTCAAGTCCAAATGTAAAAATTAAGCACATAAGGTCTTTTATGAAATTAGTCAATGGATGGGAAGGAAATTCATTCAATAACCAAGAAAAATTACTAATGTGAAAACACAAAGATTCAGCCATTCACCAAAATTCCAAATGAAGCTTCACTATAAAAAATAACCTAAGTGAAATGCAGAAATGTTCAAGAAGTACAATTATTTAACAAATAAAAACATCCAGGACGAAACACTTCCATTTAATACTTTGTTTATATAGAATGCGACAATTTATTGGAAAGAAAAGAAGGAAAGTATGCATATATAAAACGGCAACCTCCTTGAAACATCCCCGATAAAGAGGCCATAAACAACACGGAAACATTCCAAGTACTTCTATCCAAAAAATTTATCAACACTCTACAGAACAAAGTCAAACAACATGCCAAATTGCATCACAGCCAAAAAAAGAAAGCATAGCAATATAAATCTAACCAACAATATCAGTGCTGGAAACTCCTTCAGTACGCTTTATCTGTTTATAGCGACCAGCCTTTTTAGCATGAGCATAAGCATCAGTTCCATCAGGAAGAACACAAGGATCATCCCCATGAATAATGTAATCAATCTTATACTCATCAAAAAGCTTCTTCATGAACTCCTCAGTTATAGCATAAGGAGCTTCAGGAATAACCTCATCAACCCACTTCACAGCATTCACCATTATCAACCTAACCACACCAAAATTAAAATTAAAAAACAAATAAAAATCACACTTTCAAAAGAATCACACTATAAATCTGCAATTCATTTAAACACAAAAGGACACTGCATCAAAATTAAACAAACAAATAAAGGGGTTCAAAACAATGCCAGAATTAACAAGTAGAAGATCATGGGTTAACATAATTGAATTAAAAAATGGAACCTTTCGTGAAGAGGGGTAACAGGAGGACCCTTATTAGCAGTGATCTCAGAATCACTAACAACACCAACAATGAGTTGGTCACCGAGGGCACGAGCTTGACGAAGGGCATTGCAATGGCCATAATGCATCATGTCAAAGCAACCATCCATGTAGACACGAATTGGTTTCTTGTTGCGTCTTCTGGTCTTCCAGAACATTCCAAGGTGGCCAGAATATAGACCCAACAGTGATACACCCACCATCACCCCTCCAACCATGCACGTCACCACCCACTTGGTCGTTCCTTGCTTCTCCGTCACCGCCTCGTAGCTACCCATTTTTCCTCTTTCTTTCTCTCTCTGGTTCTCTTTCTCACCGCTTCTTCTCCTTCCTCATTCGCAGCACCCACCACAAATGCAATGGAATTGCAAAAGCAAAAGCAAAATATTCGGCTTTTTCTTTCTTTTGGTGGATGCAAAATATTCGGCTTTCCTCTTCTTATGTTATTCTAAGATTCCATTCATTTTTTGGGCTGAAAGACATTTTTGGTTTTCTTTATATGAAACCGACAACAGTGTAGAGATAACCATCCATGATTTTTTCTTGTTTTTTAAGTTAATGTTTTTTTTTCATTTGGGCGACAAAGCAAAAAATATATCATTCGCCGGGCTACAGTCCATGGGCTTTTGTGTTTGCATGGAAATTGGGTCTACATTTAGAATTGGATTTTCTAATTGTGATTATTATGTCAGAAGGTTTTTTCAAAATTGTAATCATAGGTTGAGAATTTAATTTTGTAAAATTTTAATAATTAAATTAGTTTTTCTCAATTTCTATTTGAAGTATTTTATGAATTATAATTTCTAATTTCATCTCTATATTGTACAATCATTTTCTCTCTTTTTTTTAAAATTTTTTTTTTATCCATACTCCCTTCATACTTTTGTCATTACATATTTTATTATCATTCTTATTGATCACTTCTTATCATTTTTATCGTCCACCACCATTGACCTTTAGAGTATATATAAATAAGGGTATGCACAATTGACGCACGCAACTGAACTTGTTATATGAGTAAGGGTAGCACAATTGACGCACCCAACTAAACTTGTTACAACCAAGAAAAAAATTGTATTAAATGGATCACGTTTGTTGTAAGGTAAATATATCAAAAAAAAAAAATAGTTTAGAACAAATATATACAGTGGAGTGTGGTTTTAGAATTTTTATTTTTTTTTGTCCTTGAATTAATCCAAGAAACACATAATATGAAAAGTAGAATCCATAAATAATCTTAATTTCACTCTTTCTTTGAGTTGTGCACACAACTTTGTTAAGGTTTTCATTTCTCTTTTCTATCTCTCAAACGTCTTGGATCACTTCTTCCAATATATCTTGCCTTTTACCTTTATTCTTTCTCTCCTTTTTCTGACTTGTCTTGTAACATGCACTTTGTTAACTCCCTTGCAAGCTACCATAAATGTCTCTTTGTACCTCACCTTTCTAATAAGTTATGGATCAGGTCAAGTTTTATTTTTCTTTTCTCTCACTACTTCTTTGTACAAAATGTTGACATCAATACTATAAAGAAGTCATGGCTAGTTCCTGGTGATGGATCCCTACTTCCTCTAGTCATGTATAAACTCACCTCACACTTTTAGTAGTCATTCTTTGAGTTCTAACCTATTCTTTACATAGATCTAGATTTTAGCAGCATGGATCTAAAAAGTGGAGAGAAAAACTTTAACATCACTAGCGGCAATATCATTCAAATGCAAGGTTTGTAAAATAAAGGATGTCCAAATCAAATTTAAGAACGGAAAAACTATTTAGGTCGTGTTTTAGTCTAAACGCATCTAAATCTATCCATCTAATCTGCTCACCTTCTTAATTAAAACCCACTCAATTTGATAGGCATTAAACAAAAATGAGTCTCATTACACTAAGTTTGATTTGTTTCAATCTTGAGTTTTTTTGTTGATCTCAAGCTCAATCCTATATATAAGACAAACCTCTCCAAAATCTTGATAGATTCTTTTTCTTAGATTTGAATCTAACTTGCTTTAAACCCAATAATATATAGGATGATACTGAATCAACCTGATTTATTGATAGAAAATACTAATCTTAACATTATGTATAGTTAAAGCATGAAGTTAACAAAGTATAAAACTAAAATCATAGTATATTTTATAATATATATTTCAAAACAAAGAATATTAATATAAATATAATATCATGCAGAATATTATCTGACATTTCAAAGTGTTATTATTAGTACATAATTATTTTTAAAAATATACAATTTAAAAGAATATGAGACCCTAGGTTAAGTTGAGACAACTCAAATTATAACTTAAATCTGTTCAATATAAGTATTATAAATTAGTAGTAGATCCATTTGAAGGGACTACTGCATCAAAGTTTTCCTATCAATGTGGATGTTAGGAAACATATCTCATTAATGAGTGTTAATGATAATGCAAAGTTGAAAAAAGAATTGGTAGTGCAACTTAATCACCACTAATGATAGTTGGTAAATGGTGCCTAATTGCTAACGCTAGTCGGTGGCCGTTGGCTGATTGCTAATGACAATTAGTGGTAGTGTTATAGTACTCTTGTATCACTATAAATATCCGTGGTTAAAGAGGTTTGGTAGTTAACTATGTGAAGGACAATATAAAATCTTAGAGAATTAAAGAACAGAGTTTTTTATTCTTAGATAAGTGATGCATATTTGATGGTTTAACAACATCAAGGACGGTGTAGCATGAAGAATTGGAGAAAAGATCTCTAGTTCTAATATAAATGATGCAGTTTTAAAAGTGTGGAAAAAGAATATAGTAATAAGGTTAAATATTTTGAATATAATGAGAATTGTTCTTGTTTGTTGATAATTTTAGATAATTCAAGTCAAGGAAAAGAATTATTGAAATGCCTTAAATTTGTGTATAACTCAACCTTTATAATGTCTCTAAAATTCAACCATTATTGTTTTAATGAAAAATTATGAGTTATTATAATGAATTATAAGTTATTATATACATCAATTTTAAAAGTTAAAAAAATCACATTTATACGATACAATAAAAGATAATAGTATATACACATATTACAATAAATAAAAATATCTCAATTTGTACATAAATATAGGTCATATTGGTTAAATCACATTATTTTATTTTTGTTTTTTTTTTATTTTTGTCATAACAATTTAAAATTTATTTTATATTCTAATTGTTTACATATAATTCAAACATAGGACTCATAGTTTATAGCAAAATTGAAATTACAATTTTAACTTTTTTTTATTTGATCTATCTTTTTAATTTTTTTAATACAGTATTTGAAAAACTGTCTTTCATTTTTATTTTGTCCCTCCATTAATAATTTGTTAACCTATTTTGTTATTTCTAAGTTGATTCATATAATTTAAATAATACATAAAATGAGCAAAATGTGTCATTAATAATATAACATGTTTTGTAATTTTAAATGAAATTCCAACTTATTAAATTATCACTTACGAAATTGAAATTTAAAAATATAAATGTCATATCATTATTCACATCATTTTATGATAAATTATATGAATTGTGTTGAATGTTATATAAGTAAATATTAAAAGAAATTAACAAATTAATAATAAAGTAACCATATGAAAAAAAAAAATTTTTAAGGATTTTATCTAAAATATAAAAAATGAGATATCAAATGAGAATATTGTGAATATTTTAAGAGACCAAAATTTTATTTAAGAGGAATAAATGTTTAAAATTTGATGAAAATTTTTTAATCTACATTTTTTTACATGATATTTCATCAAATCTAGAGCATGTTAGATATAAATCACTTTTAGTGAAATAATTATTTATTTATTTTTCAAAAATTTTCTCATAACATGTTGTATTACTTATGCATGTGAATATTGGTCGTGGTTAACGTTTGCATTAACCAAGCAATGTGTAATTGTGGATCATTTCATTAGGTCACGTTTAGGAACTTACCTGATTCACATCTCAAGCATCAGTGTCCCACAGCTATATATATCTTTAAATAATCATGTGTTAATAATAAAATTTTAAGACTTAATAGATAATATGTTGAATATGTTAATATTATATTTATTTTGATATTATTTAATTTTTCAAAAATGCATTATAAAGTATACTATGATTAAAATTTTATACTTTATTATTTCTTTAATTTTTCTATGCATAAATTTAAAAAAATATCTATTCAGTCAATAAACCAAGGTGACCAATCTTTTCTAACATATTGACAAGTTTGATCAGGTTGGGTTCAAGTTTAAAAGAAAAGCCTATCAAAATTTTAGATAAGCTTGGAACAAAGATAAATTCATCTTAAATGTATGGCGCCATAAGTTGAGATAAACAAAGGGCTTTACACACTTGTAAAAATAATTTTATTTACAGAGTTTTTTTAAAATCCAAATATTTAATCTTTTCAGTAATTTCTTCACTTTAAAAGATAGTGTTGTTAAAATTCACTAAAAATGGTCCACCTCTGGTTATAACTTAAAATTTTTATGTTGTTATTGTTTGTTTATATATTTATTTATTTTAGTTACGTGAATGCTTTCATTTAACTTTTTTGTTCATATTACTTTGTTAGTTTTGTGTGAAAATATTTTTTTATTTATCATTAATATTATACTAAGAAAATTGAATATTTTTTTTATTATATCTTCTTTTACAACTTTTAATTTTTTTTATTAATATTTCACAATACTCACTACAAGAAATTTGTCGATCACATCCACAGACACTATCGACCAGAGTTGCTCTTGTCAGTAATTATCAAAGCTATTTTTGATAAATTGATGTCTTATTTCATTATCTAACTTGTACAAAATTTTGTTTTCCAACTTTCTATCAATACATTCATTGGTAAATGCCAAAAATCTACACAGCTTACCGACAAGTGTTAATATTTTTAAATTTATTTTTTTCTTAAATTATTAAATATCTTATTGATGGGAGATTATATAAATTAAACATATTTATTTATTTTTAAATATTTTTATAAATTATTGACAAGTGTTATTGGTTAGTTTTTAAAATTTATATACGTGAGCACTCAACTCTTGGAATTTTAGCCTTCTCGTTGATAAATTTGTCAATAAATTATATAAATTTTTTTGAAAAATAAATATATTTAATTTATTAATCATCTGTCGATATGACTATTGGTAATTTATTGAATACCAATGAGTCTTTGAAAATTATGCATACAGCACTCAACCCTTAAGAATTCTTACTTATTATTCTTCGATTCTAGTAAAATACTTTTTCAAGTGACTCTTTAACCTATTTTTAAGGATTCTTTACCATCAAATGGCATGGATGATTCCGATAAGATTAATGATTATGTGATGTTGTCGATCATTAAGAATCTAACTAGTCTTTATCTATCTTTTATTATTATTATTATTATTATTATTTCATCTTTGATATCTTTTACATTTATTATCCTATAGACAACTTGTTATAACATG